CTCATTTCTCCTTTTTAGTGTAAACTTCTCTTTCATGTATCATGTTCTCTCTTTTCGTTTTGATGCGTGACATGTCTTGCTTGCATATTGCTCACAAAACTAGAGGTCCTCCTCGTATTGGCCGCTTACCTACATTTATCTGCAACCATTAACATCCAGATCAACCTCAAATGGCAATGCTGACTCCCGTGCCCGATAGCTACAGTATCCTAAAGTTCCCGGTCCACTTCCTCGTTTGAGACCATCCTGATAGGATATCGGTGCTGAACGATACAACGTCAACCCATTCATCGTTAGCCAGATGCTCTATTGCTTTCTTCACCTGTGAGGACAGTATAGAACTCTGCTACACTGGTTATCTCGGCAAAAGAAGAAAAGAGAAGGTCTTCCATTGCTATAACCAGAACGATATTGGCCAAGCTTCTCTTAGACCCCAATATGGTTGTACAGTTTGTCTGATCGAACACACAATGTTATGGACTCGTGGTATGACTCGCTTTTGGTCAGCTTGCCAATTCGTCTCTTCAACCTTGCCTCGCATTCAGCTCTCCACTTCAGGCCTCTGAAGGGTTTCAACCGAATCAAGGCCTAAATGCATCGTGCAATCAGTAACGTTCAACATACAAGTTTCATGCGTACTCAGTTCTATTGGGTCTCGGCCGGGCCAAGCACCACATCCGCATGCGGCTCGCCATCAGGTTGTGTTTCATAGGCTCACCAGCAGTTATGCACACGGCTCGACACATACGGCCAGACAATTATCTGGTGACTCGTCTGTCCAAGATTCAGTCTTGGGCGCAACTGGTCAATCAGATATTGTTCTGTTCAGGGAATCACTCATTCTCTCAATATCGGCGCATACACCCGACAATTGGAAGAATAAGGACCAGAGGGACTTGCTCTACCAAACCATGGCTTGCAACGGCTCTGACTAAGCCCTCTTGGCTTCTCAAACGTCATTGTACGCAATACCATGCAACTGGGTACGCTTCAGCTGCGGGATGGCCATTTCTGGGGAAATATGTGTGCGGCCGCGGTGTCATATCCTGAGACTTGAGTGGATGCGGTGTGGGACGTTGGCCTTAATGGGTATCACCCTTCACCGGTTGACCACGAGGGGATCGGCCCACTACTGTACTCATCGTCCGGGACATACTCTTTGCCTCAAGCTTAGAGGACAATCCCCCACATGCCACATGAATCTCTAACCAACACTTCAGCCTCAATCACACCAAACAAGAATTGGTTCAACTACTCGCTTCTCCATTAACATCTCTAGCCACACCTGGTCCACAACGCAAATCCTTGTTCTTCTGCATACAACATACTGTACACACATGGCTCATATTGTCATTTCAGGTATACACATGCCTTGAAACTAGCTCACCGACAAGTCTGGCGACTAACAAGAGCTGATTCCAGCAAATAGGGTTCATCCCGAGTTTTGATAACGGTTACATTGTGATACAAGCAAGCTTGCAGGTTTCCGCTCCAATGGGCCCAACTAGCTTCACCGCGAGGCGAGATGATATCTGCATCCTTGTTGAATGACTGGTGACAAGATGCTCTACTGGGGTACCTCTGGGCTTGGGTACAATGAAGTGTATACAGCAAATATTTTACGGAGGTGGTTTCTCAATACTATGTACGTTTTTCCTGTACATTGTACACTGACCCCAGATGGCTCAGTAATGGAAGAGCCGTAACCAGCAAAAAGCAAAACACTGACGATTAGCCGGGCCACAGGATGCCAGGTATCGTAACAGGCTCCATGCCTGACCAGCTTTTCCTGCCCTCCGCTTCTTACAGGGAGGTCAAGCAGATACTGAGCTGTGCAAGACGTTGAGCAAAGATGAAGAAGATGGCTCAAGATCTGCACTTGACTGACTTTCCATCTGCAAGACGACTGTGCTGCTTTCGATTGGCAGTTTCGTCCTAGGCTTGACGCCCTACAGCACCTCGTGTCTGCCTCCCTGCGCTATTAGAGAAGCTTCGTTTGATGCACGGCACAGCTGGCGTGTCGTCTAGCCCGACCACGAGAAAAGCTTATCAAGATGACGAACATCTGACAATTAGTGTTGCAGACAGTTGCATATCTACTATGCTCGTTGTCAAGTACTACCGCAAGCTGATTGATGCTCAGCAGCTGGCAGGTGCTAAAGTCTTTGTTGCCCTTGGCACCCTAGGCTTACAGTTATGTACAGGCCAAGGCCATGATGGTATACTACATGCCAACCGTTGGAAAGACTCCGGATCGACGTAGCAGTAACCCTTGGAAAGTAATTCCTGTTACCAAAGTCGCCTAAAGAGCCACCAAACCTTGGGTAAATCTGAGTTGCGGCCCAACGTGCACGGAGCTTTCAATAGTTCAAACTTCTCCCTGATTTCGCCTGCAATCGTGATGGGCTGGCAAAAAGAGTTCATGTAAATATAGAGCTTCTTGTTGCTTCTTGGATATCGTTCACCGCCTAAACCATTGCAGTTTATGTAGGGGTGGTTGCCAGGGTCAATGGGCAAACAAGCAATCCCCCAGGCAAAGACGTTCAGTGTGTACCCAAATTATCCAATTCCGCGGCGAAAATGGCTCATGCGATGGCTCGGAATGCAGCCGTACAACGCGAGGGAGTCAAGACCGTGGGCAACTATATTGGATCGTCCCAAAGAGCACTGGAGAGGTCATTCGTCAAGTACAATGTGGCGCGAGCTACCAAGAAAAGAACAGCATGTCGGTGTGAGAAGCAAGCACTGAACAAACAAGCACATACACTCAGTTCAACCACTTGGATTCTATTACTACATTACGACCGGGTATACCAACGGGTCGGGCCGTCGGTCGGCCTAAGTAATCCATTTTGAAGGTAGGATTTCCGGTGTGAGATGGCCTTCCACTACACGGAGAATTCGATTGCAGGGGATCTTGTCTGGGGTAATGTACCCGTCGGGACGCGCACTACAGTACATACTGGCGAGGGCAGGGTTCGGGGCTGTCCACTACGCCTTTACCAATAAATGTCGTACAGTTGTTTTGTTTTCTCGTCATGGGCACAGATGTCAGCCCGATAACCACATCCTTTTGCCGCAGCCAGTTGCGAACCCTCGCCTAAACAGTGGGCGCTCCTGGTAACATCCGCATTGTCCTTGTTAGTTGAGGATAATGGCATCCCGTATCAGTCAGTCGATACTCTCCGAAGTACGTACACGGAACAAGGAATAGAACTTTATCCCGTCACGAGTGAGTTCTTACCTTATTCTCAGACTGTTGAGACACAAGAACGTAGGGTAAGTTCGTTGACGTGGAACTAGGTAATCTGGTGCAAACTTCAAACTTTCTCAAATGTAATGTAGCTACTTAGTGCCGTGGGCTTCTTGGCATAGTTAATGTCAAAGTTTTCTTCTTAGCCACCGTGTCCAGGACACTTGGATGTGACTAAGGGAGTTCGATGTCGACCATCCGCATGTCCTGGGAAAGACGATTCTGATAGTCTTTAGACCATACGAAACATGACTTCTATTAACAACACATATAATCTCTGAATGAATTTCCTTTTCCCTACCCGTATACTACGTACATAAACAGCCCTCGTAGGCAAATGGCGGACCAATGAGTGAGCAGTTCCATATCTTCAGTCAACGCTAGCTGGCTCCATGATAGTTACAAACTGCGATAGCACATAAACCCTCGAAGGCCAAAAGACTGTTTTCTTTATACCAGTTGCTTTCCTTGGTTTCTATTTCATCGTCGTTCGAAGTATTACTTACTGGCAGTGAGCTATCCAAGAGTCACGCATACAGTGTGTGCCTAGATGTCCGTTCTTTTCGTGGATGGGACTCTTAGACAACCTATATAAGCTCCTAGATCCTCGCACCCGAGCTTGCTGTCTATCATGTGAGGGTTTTCCAGAAACAAAATCTCGATTGTAAATGCTCTGCCACCTCATATAGTACAACCGAAATTACCAAGGTTTTAGTTTCTCTTAAGACCTGACCGAAGCTAATAAAGTCCACTCTGGTTCATCATCTGTGAGCTGATAACTTATTTTATCTACTGTAATGCCCTTCCTGTGACTCACTGTTTAGGCGGTAATTGCAACCAATATCCGAAAGCTATAAGAACATTCAAACAATGGTGTGTGTTGTTGGGACAGCAATTTGGACCGATTGATGCGCTCCAGACTGCTGGTTTGAGATAATGCCACCTGAGTCCTTGGACCACAGTTGAAAGTCTAATCTTGACGAGATTAACGGGGTTCGCTTTGTGATATCGAATGGGTAGTATAAATCAATAAGCTAGAGATCAGCCAGTTGATCAGCCAGCCACTGCCTGAACTAAGAGATTATGTCGCCAGGGTTAAGGAAAAAGCAAAACTAGACTTAGTTCAATCGAGAATAACTACATCCGCTGAGTATAAGCAACTGTTCTCTTATGTTCAGAAGTCTAAAATGATGGTTGTTCATATTATTGGAATTTCCATACAAGCAAGTCGTCTAAGTGCCATTATCTACGGGTATTGTCGCTGGGATTGGCTGATACCTAGGAGGACACCCATAGCACAGCCACAGTTCAAAGTGGAGTTAAGAGGCTAGATCATCCATAAATCTTTCAGCCTTGCGCGCCCCGAACCTTTTCACCCCCAGCCTCAGCCTTGCTATACTACATTCTGACGATCAACTGCTGTCTTCTGTGCCATTGAGTTGAGCTCTGTCGATACGATTTGGGTCAGTATTTATCCTATGGTCAAAGCCCAGACCACCTTTAAGGACTGTTGCTAATTGGTAGGGTGCAGTCTCATTGCTATATCGAACGGACGAGAACGACGCACTGGCTTCTAGTCTGCGACTGTTGACCTTCGAGATCGTTCACTGGAGCTTTTCGCAACAGCTCTCACAACGACATTTGCTTTGAGTATACAATCCGGTTGGAACTTCCCTACACTCTGTTTGCCGGTCGCTGCTCGTAGGCGCTCTTACAAAGGGGCTCATCCTCTTTCTTCGCCGCCATCATGTCGAACAACTCGCCCTCAACACCCGTCAAGGTGCCCTCCAGCGCCGCAAACCACACACAGGCTACTTTGGACCAGGATCTGCGCTCACAGATCAATACTGTTCTGCTACGCGACGGCCACGTTTCCAAGTATGTACCTCCTTTTACAAATCTGCATGCACCATGAGTGTCTCACTAACACACTCTTTAAGAATACAAGATGCCCTCCTGCACGCTCTGAATTCGCACTCTACAAACTGGCCCACCACGATCCAATCGCATGCGCTCTCTCTTCTACGCTCTGGTGAAGTCGTCACCTTTCCAGCCCTTCTCAGTCGCGTCCTCGAAGATGTCCGCCACGACTCGGCCCTCAACCCTGCATCCTCGAGCTCCAACGGCAATAGCGCTAAGACCGCGACCAACGGCGACGCTCCTAAGACCAACGGTGCCACGGATGTTAAACCCAGTCTTGCTGTTCCAGAGTCCGTGGTCGAGGAAGCTCTTCGCGTCACCAGAGAGAGTTTGGAAGCGGTTTGCGAGATCGAAGAGGAAGGATCCGCCTAGAAAAGGTGACAATACAACAACACCGATGAATCACAGAAGGGATAAAGATAAAGACGTTTATGGCGTCAAAACGATGCGCGGCGTCATATTAAATCCCAACACCACCAGGCCCGTCCCTCTACTGAGGCGGTCGGCAGGTGGCAAGGCGGATAACAACAACTCGACCAAAGCCATCATTATACTACCTAACCTACACCCTACAACCGATACCGACAGCAAACAGTCCTGGATATGACCCATGATAAGCCCACAAAGATGGGCTAGTGAGTGCCTCTCTTGAATAAGAAGCTAAACGTAATGCATATAACCATATTCATTCACAAATGGGGCGCAGAACGAATGATACCAAACCCGAAAGCAAGCACGGCTATGAAACGAGATTACGCACGAACCAACAAATAGACTATTCTTTTGATAATGAGTTTGAGCCATGGTGCACCTTGAAACTGTGAATGTTATCTGACTCAGTGACCAAAAGTACAGCTAGGGTTAAGCGGCATTTACTTGGCATGGCCAGAGTCGTTAGAATTCTAGCAAGGCAGTAAAGCACTTACTATTACAAATATGCAATGTAATACGATTTCATCATGTTCAGGCAGCGGACAATATGTCTTCAAGTCGTGGAGTCACCATGCATGTTGTGCTTAAGGCTAAGGGAATCAATTTCATCATCTATCAAAACGCAAATCTGTCCTGAGTCACACGCCGTGACAACAGTCGTATCCTCCTAATCTTCAACAAAAATAATACCTCATGATCAGGTTACCGTTCTTCTCTCCTCTATCATCCATTCTACCAACTCCTATTTCGATAGCAGCCAAAGGTGTTTTGGATAAATCCAGCCCACACTGATTGACCGTAAGCTAGCGCAGAGATGTACGAGAGAAATTATTAGAATACAGGGGACTCATGTCCATACAGTCGTTGCTGTCCTTTAGTCATAGAGATCATCATCATTGCCAGCGTCACCGAAAGAGTTGCCGCCGTCGCCTCCAGCGGCTTCAGCACCGGCCTCGGGGAACTTGAAGAAAGCGCCGGGGCCAGCGTTCTTCATCTGTTGAGCGAAAGCCTCGTATCGGCGAATCTCAACATCTGATACTGATCGGCGAGCCATCTGCATGGCCTCCTCGAAGTGAGCCTTGGTCAGCTCGGGCACAGGATCCTCAGCATCCTCATCTGTGTCCATCTCATCACCAGCGGCCTCGCGGGCCTTCTGGCGCTCGATGTCCAGAGCAATAGACTCCTTGATGGCAATCTTGACGGCACGCTGTGTGATGAAACCGATATCGGCACCAGAGAAACCGTGTGTCTTGGAGGCGATGTAACCGAAGTCGATATCCGAAGCGATAGGGGTCTTGCGGAGCTGAGCCTTGATGATGCTGAGACGACCAGGCTCATCGGGAAGGGGCACATAGATGAGCGAGTCGAGACGGCCAGGTCGGCACAGAGCAGGGTCAAGCTGCTCAGGTCGGTTGGTGGCACCAATGACAAAGACGTTCTTCTTGGAAGTCATACCGTCCATCTCAGTCAGGAGCTGGTTAACAACACGGTCGGAAGCACCGCCGGCATCACCCATGGATCCACCACGGGCCTTAGCAATAGAGTCAAGCTCGTCAAGGAAGACAACGCAAGGAGCAGCGGCACGAGCCTTGTCGAAGATGTCTCGGATGTTGCTCTCAGACTCACCGAACCACATGCTGAGAAGTTCGGGTCCCTTGACAGAGATGAAGTTGGCGGCACACTCGTTGGCGACGGCCTTGGCCAACATAGTTTTACCAGTACCAGGAGGACCAAAGAACAGTACACCTCGAGAAGGAGACATACCGAACTTGAGGTACTTCTCGGGATGGTCCACGGGGTACTGAACGTTCTCCTTGAGATCCTGCTTGACCTCCTCGAGACCACCGATATCCTCCCAGCGAACGTTGGGAACCTCAACAACAGCGACCTCGCGAAGAGCGGACGGGTTGGAGACGCCGAGGGCAAAGCGGAAGTTCTCCATTGTAACACCAAGGGAGTCAAGAACCTCAGCGTCGATAGTATCCTCATCAAGATCAATGAGATCCATCTTCTCACGAATCTGCTGCATAGCGGCTTCGGAGCAGAGGGCAGCAACATCGGAACCAACGTAACCGTGTGTCTCAGAAGCAATCTGCTCCAAGTCGACGTCGTCGCCAAGCTTCATGTTCTTGGTGTGAATCTGGAGAATCTCGAGACGACCGGTAGGGTCGGGAATACCGATGTCAACCTCGCGATCGAAACGGCCGAATCGTCGAAGAGCAGGGTCGATAGAGTTAGGTCGGTTGGTGGCGGCCATGACAACGACGTTGGAGCGAGCCTTCATGCCGTCCATGAGGGTAAGAAGCTGAGAAACAACTCGTCGCTCGACCTCGCCGTTTGTCTTCTCACGCTTAGGAGCAATTGAGTCGATCTCGTCGATGAAGATAATGGCGGGAGAGTTCTTCTCAGCCTCCTCGAAAGCCTTTCGCAGATTCGATTCGGACTCACCAGCCATCTTCGACATGATTTCGGGGCCGTTGATAAGGAAGAAGAAAGCACCGGTCTCGTTGGCGACAGCTCGAGCCATCAGAGTCTTACCGGTACCTGGGGGGCCATAAAGCAGAACACCTCGGGGAGGCTTGATACCGATAGACTTGAAAAGTTGGGGATGTCGGAGAGGAAGCTCAACCATCTCTCGGATCTGAGCCATCTGCTTTCGGCATCCACCAATATCGTCGTAACCAACCTCGTTGAGGTTGTTCTCCTCCTCGTCACGCTGAATAGGCTCACCCTCGCAGTGAATGACGGTGTCTTGTGCGACAATACCGTACTCTGGGGGGTCAACCTCGACAACCTTGAACTCTACTTGCCTCATACCACCGCGAACAATGAATAGATCTCCTTGGCGGACAGGTCGGTAAGCTTCTCGGAAGTAGGGGGCGAGGAAAACGTCAAATAGAGAACCGGTGATACCCTCGACGGTATCAGCGATGGGGAGAACAGCAATGCGCTTGGCCTGGATACGTGTTAGATGCTTTTCTATTGGGTGATCTCACGATAATACTGACATATTTGATATCGGGACAGGGGTGGATGGTAATCATGTCACCGTGCTTGACTCGCAGGTTGTGACGAACAACTCGGTTGATGCGAGCGCTACCGTCATCGAGCTCCTCGTCAGCGAGGACGATGAGGACGGTGTCCTTTCTCTTCTTGCCTCGAACCAAGACGGTGTCGCCTCGGAAGAGCTGGAGCTGATCCATGGTAGCCTCGGAGAGGGCAATGATACTGTTGTCATCGTTGACGGCATCGGTAACCCTTGGTGATGTCAGTTATTTGCCTAGTCTACACAGCGAAGATTACCTACATCAACTGGTTGGGCTTCTTCTTCTTCTTGAGAATCGCGGTCGCAACATCATCCTCCTACAGTAAGGTTAGCTATATGTTGAAAGTCGTATGGGATCGAATGCCACGAACGTTCTTGACCTCGGCGCCGGAGGGGTCGCTGCAATTATGTTAGCCAGTCTGTTCACCTGGGAAAGTACAACTATTCTAGCTGATCTCGGGAACTGAGAATCACGTACGTCAGGTTGACCTTCTTGTGGGGGTGCTCGTCAGGCTGGGAAGCCATGGTGGTTATCTGAATGCTTCAAACGAAGCTGATACTGGCTTGGTGATGACGAAGGGAGCGGGGGTTGTAAGAGTTGCGGAAAAGCCAAGTGATGGCTTTTGGGTGTCGTATTTGGTGGTTAAATAGAAATTGGGGAGATGGGGAGGGGGGAAGGAGAAAGTGTAAAGAAGAGAGTTGGGGTTGAGAGTTGCAAAGTAGAAGCAGAGTTGAGGTCAAAGGTTTACCTAAAGGTCGGAGGCAACGAAGGTTCGAGCTGTTCAAAGGCCACAGGGCACCTTCCCTCCGAAACGGCTGTTGACAGCGATTCACTGGCCGACCGCCACAGCTGTGGGCCAATGATATCACCGAATGCCCTGAAATCGGGGCGGAACAATGATGTTGAGACAGCTTAGCTCAGCCGGGTTGATGGTGGGGCTCTAGGCTGGCACTATGATGCAGCACGGTTGCAAGGTGGTAGCAACAGGCACACAGAGAGTGACGACTACATAAGGTAAGTAGGTACTGTACAGAGACAAGGCGGGTGGAAGCCAGCAGAAGCTTCCATTGGACGATCTATCAGATTCAATGCCATACATGATAAGATTTCTCTCTCCCGCCACTTTTATATCCGTCCTTTCACGCAGGGACAAAAGTATGGAGTGTATTAGTTCCTGCATGTCACAATCTAGTCTAGACTGTACTGTACTTGTAGCATTTGGCGGTCATCCATGGCGGATCAAAGGCAGATCCAATTGTTGCGCGGCCCCAGATGCCTACTGCTGTTCCTGTTCCTCGACCGATAGCGTCTCAGATGACGGCGATGGATATCAATGGGCCAGGCCAGTCTTGACTCACTCGCCGTTCGTTTATCTTTTCCGCTCCCCATTGTGGTTTTTTTTTTTTT